CCATGGATTGTGACCAGAATATAGAAGCTCATTATTGATGCTCAACCATCACTTATAGAGTTTGAAAATTTGCCAACGAGCTAAGAAACCATGACTAAACAAATGAGAGACATCATGTTGAAGAGTGAAGAAGAAGCACTCCACACGAGTAAAGTTGGAGTAACCATAAGCCGCATGGATACAAAAACGGTAAGAAAACATAGCCCCAAACATAAGCCGCATGAAGCACTCTACACAAGTAAGAAAACTTCTTTGAGATTCGAATCACCCCACAAGCAAGATTAATCATATCAAACTTGAATGATTCTAAACATAAAATCTAAACTACATATAATTGTAAATAAACTTATTCTTTGGCTAAAGAAATGCTCTTTTTATTACATATTACAAGTCTATTTTACAAATATAACATACATGTCTTTATATAGTCTCAAAATGAAACTCTCCACCTTCTAGATTCAAGAGTTGTAACCTTCATAATATATCATCATAATTAGACGCTATATAAAAGTAACCTAAAAGTAAATAAGAAATCTTAAAACTTAAAATACATTAATGAAATACCATAAATCTAGTTTTCAATTATACACCATCAATTTGTAACCGTCTAAGAATAAATGAACCCTCACTTGAAGTATCTTGAAGCCTTTATAGCATAAATGAAAATTGATTCTTCTTGATTTTGCATATCAAGAGTTTTCAAGGGAAGAGATTTGAAGGCATTTGCTACAGCAAAGAAGGGTCACATATCTAATGATTTTTTTCCCAAGAAAAATAATGTCGAAAGTAATGCGGAAACCTCTAAAATGAAGATGGAGGACGAATAAGATGCAGGGATATTATGTGCCTTAGAAGAAGACGAACTAGTACTCATAGCGATGGTGGGAGTGCATATCGATTATGAGGTTGACTCGAACGTTGATTCAGGATGCTCAAACCGCATAACTGGCGATTAGAGAAAATTTTGAGACAGGAAAGAGTACAAAGGAAGTTATGTGGTACACACAGCCACAACAAAACACAGTTGTCAATTGCTCAAATCGATAATATGACAATCGTACCTAGTAATAAATATGATATTGTGTTAATACATTGTGTTTATTATGTATCGGCTGTAAAGAAGAATTTGTTGTAAGTGTCACGACTAACAACATTAGGAAACCACATCTTGTTCGGGATAAAAGATGTGAAAGTCTATGAAGATGTTAAGATAACAGGAAAGCAAATGATAGAAGAGTGAAGAGTGGAGTCTATTTACGTGCTATCTATAAAGTTTCCTATATAGACAAGGCTCAAAAGAACGAAACCATAGTTCTATGGCATGCAAGGTTAGGGCATGTTGGCTACCACAAGTGAAGGTGTTTATTGATAAATTCATGCACAAAGGTCTACTTCAACTTGAAGTTAAAATAGATGTTGTTTGCATTGGATGTTAGTATGATAAAACCTATCAATTACCAAACAAAGAGTCAAAGTTCAGAGCTAAGAAACCGTTAGAGTTAATTTGCTCTAATTTTTTCGGTCTAGTGAAACAAATATCAATCAATGGTATATGGTACATGGTGACACCTTAAATATGTGTGGATTTTATCTATGAAAGAAAATTCTAACCCATTCTCAAAATTTAAATAATTCAAGACGACGATTGAAGGAGAAGTAAGAATGAAGATTCGTTGCCAACACTCAGACAATGACAGGGAATACACAACAAATGAGTTCGATCAATACTTACATAAGTGTGGAATACGTCATATGTTAAATGTGTCAAAATGATGCAAAAAATGGTGTAGTAAAAAGAAAGAGTCGACATCATGTAGAAATCTATCAAAGTATGTTATATGTGACGAATGTTTCAAGAACATTTTGGGTTGAAACTATGCGATATGTTGCCCAAGTGATCAACAAGCTTCTCCAGCTAAAGATAAGTTTCATCTCACTATTTGAGACACTATAAGACATAAACCTATGATTAGCTACTTTTGAGTATTTGGTTGCGTTAATAGAAGACAGATGATCAACTTGCATGAAAAATGAGGACTAGTGTTGTGGGGAGTGTTAAAAAACAATCACTAACCCAATAGGGTTAAGCATAATTGTATGAGTGGGTTGTTTATGTATTTTAGGGGAAAAAAAAAACTTACATATTTTAAGGTATTTTAGGAATAAATATTTAAATACTTAAATAATTTTTTTGTCATTTAATGTAAATATCTCTACCCAACTAAATTTTTTATCTCAAATAATTTCAAGGAAAGCCAGTGGCTTGTGTGAGTGACTTGTAAACTATTACTCACTGATGTTGATAAAGAGTCGTAAAATCAATACAGAGGTGACCTCCAATTCGAACAAAATTAGATAGGTAGTACTTCCCTACACATGATCCACGCTTACTAGTGTGAGTCCCTAGACAGTTCAAACCCCTCAAGACCCATCATAATCGAGCTAGTTGTCCGTAATCGGACGTTCAGAGGCTAGCAAACCCTTGAACATCATGCAAGACATGTCATCATCATCATTATCATCATGGTGTACGCATCCGTACTCATCATCATAAGTGGAGAAGTAACCCGACGTATATGAACACACAATATGCATGAGATCCCTATATTTTTCATCTTTAAATCATTCTTATGACACAAACCTATAAATCATTCATACATGACCCTAGGTAATATGCATCCATGGGCCTTCATTTGTTCATCATCATTAAAATGAATTAGAGTTGTTTTAGAAAATTTGTCGTCATGCATCATGGAATATCATCATATTAAGTCATCTCATCATCATGCATCTTACATCATCATGCTATCATGTCATTATATCGTGTCATCATCTCATATCATCATATAACATCACCACATTATCATATAACATAAAACATAAATGACACGTGCAAGGGCCATTGGACACCTGTCGTCATACATATGACAAGTTTTCCAACCAAATCGATACTAAGACCACTTGGTTGGCCTTAGCCAAAGTTCTATCTACCTCCAAATTTACTTGCTTTCGTTCTTCGAATTTATTCTAACTTGTGTCAAGGCTTGACCTATTTTGAATGTTCACCTAATTGCCTCAGTAAAATCGAATTCTATGTTTCCATTGTTTCTAAATTGTGTTGGTAGTAAAACTTAAATTAAAAAATATGTTAATATTATTTTCATGCAACCTTAATCCTACCATCTAAATATTATTTCTAAATATCTTTTTTTATAATATTATTTTTATACAAACCATTAAAATCAAAACAGTATAAGTGTCTTCCAATCATCTTTTTCTCTGGAACAGTATGAGATTAACATATAAAATAATTATGTTAATAATAATCTAAATACTTTATAGTATATGGATATAGTTAAGTATCCGATAGTACACACTTTGTAACTGACTCAATTTTATACTTACTCGTTATATAGAATATTTCCATTCACAAAATATTTAATTTTATTTTTTATAAATTTGTTAATTAAGAATATTAATCTTGAGCGAGTTATGTGTTAGCTTTTTGACATTTAATATAAATTAATTAATTAACTGATGTTTTGATGATAACAAACATGTTTTTAATTACTAATAATTTTAGTGTTTTGAAGTGTTCATAGGGTAAAGGTTTGAATTATGATTCCAACGCCTTTTGAATAACTTAAATTAGGACTAAAACGAAGAAATTATAGCTGAAACAAGATGAAGTAGAAAATAGACGTGATAACGTGTCAACTAAGTTGACATTATGGATAATCAAAGTATATAATCGAACTATGACACGTGAAGTTTTGGAAGAGTAACCATTATCGGTAGTTTTAGTTGTTTCTAAACTAAAATAATTATATGTAATATTATATTTGAAAATTAAAAATAAACAAATAAATTTAAACTTATGATACTTGATTAATCTTAAAATTAATATTATTTTAAACATAAAAGAAAAGAAATTTAAATTTATGGTATTATTATTATTATTTAAAAAAGAGGAAAGAAATTCAAACTATGACCATTGGTCATTAATATCATCATCATATTATTATTGCTTAATAATAAAATAAAATAAAAGGAAAAGGAAAATTATCGAATTAAGCAAACATTTTTGTCACTCCCTTTCCGATTTAAACACATTTTACCCATTTGATTTTAAAATAATTAGTGTGATTTCTAAATATTTTTATAATGGTGTGTTATTTTAAATTTAATTATTTTTTTAGACTTAACATGACTTTTAATAGATCTAAAAAGTTTAATAATTAGAAAAATTGAATTTTTTTTTTTTTTTTTTTTTTTTCCCTAAAACTTTATTCACCCCATCTAGAGTTATCATATCGATTCAATATTATGAACTCCTGTCCGGTTTTGCCTTTAGTTTACATGAGTGAGAATAACTTTTATAATCAATTTAAATATGTATGCCATTTTAGGAACAAAATATGGAGCTCGGAACCTAATGTTATGAGATAAAATTTACTCTTTCTCATATATGTTAAGTAGATGAGTAATTTATTGAAGTGCTAATTTTGGGATCGAGGCAATGAGCCCCATCCTATCACAGGTACAAGAGACTTAGTTTATGGTTGGATCATAAAAAAAACTTGTTCAATCCAAAAATCAATGATGCATAAGGTGAAAGACATAATTATAGGAATAGAACAAACTTTTAACTCAACTATAAATGGAGTGTCTTGTGAATAAAAAGTGATTAGTTAAAGAGTTCAATCAATTAGGTTAATAGTTCTTTTATGGTTCGGAGAAAATTAGTATTTAACCTATTAAATACAAGAAGAGAAATATATATTTAATTTAAATGGTTTAAATTAATATTAATATTAAAAATATTAAAACAAATAATGTATATTAAACAATTCAAATTGATTAAATATATATCCAGATATTTTATATATTTACATACAATGTATATATTAATATATAAGGAAAGATTCTCCTCGGATTGGGTTGCCAAAAAAATGAAATCATAAAAAAAAAAGAAAAAGTTACATCTCCAATGGTTCATATTTACAAGTGTAAAACCCAATCATATGCTTATAACACAGAAGAAGATCACATCAGATCAAAGACTAAAAATCCTTCAAAATCTGTTGGTCAAAAGATAGGCTTTCAAGAATTTACACATGGTAATGATTTGCCTCAACTTGAATTCTCACTATGAAGTACTTACTATCTAAGTAAATAAAACAACCAAACAACCCTTTTTTCTTCTTATATAATTAGGCTATCAAGGCTTTTGGCCTGATTTCAACTCCCTGGATAAGCAGACCTCCCTTCCAATACCCACCCTTGACCTCCGACACGCTCATCTCGAGCTCCCCATCCACCCCGTTGTGGAAGAATTCACCAAGCTGAACCTCCAACCACCCATCCTCCCTCTGCTTGGGGACACCGTGACCACAGTCCTCAGCAGGGGCGTCGTTCCTGGTAATTTCACGGGGCACAGCTACTTGTGTGTCGATGATGCGGCGTCTGCCAAGGTTGAAGAGACCGGAGCCCCTAAGCAAAGTCGGGTGGCGCTGTCGCCATTCTCTATCTACAACATCTAAATACACACTTTGCTTGGGAGTTTCTGTCCCAACAAGGCCAACAGTGACTTCGACCGGGTGGTGTTGGAAGCCATAGTTGGAGGTTGTGGGCTTGAACACCAAATAGGCTGCATATAATGTGCATGGAGACAGCATCTGTGTCTCTATCTTGCCCCTGATCTCAAGCCAACACACACTCACCAGCTCTGCTAGCTCCCCAAACCTGTTTTGTTACAACAATTCATCATCAAATACTGCCTCAACATCACCATTACAAATCCTCAGAATTCTCTAAGATATACTAAAAAGTGGTACAAAATTAGCTAATTTATGTGGGGAAGTAGAAGAATGGTTATTAAGAAAGAGTTATACCTTGCTCCAGGAGGAGAAGTCCACCTCCAATACCTAGGAGCATCACCCCAAACAATGAAAAGCTCTCTTGGAGAGATCATGTAGCATTTTTTGCCCGTCTTTTTATCCAGTGAAAAGCTCTGAAGAAATCAATCAGATATAAGAACAGCCAACATTAGAGATTTGCTCATTATTATTGTCAAGAACAAAAAGAAGAGAACAACAACAAAAACATCAATCACAGTTCCACATCATGATTTTCAAAACTAAAACATCTATTTATTGTTGAGTTGTTGGGAGGGAGTCCCACATTAGAAGGAATATCATTTGAGAGTAGTGATTCATAACATTTATACCCGCAACAAGCAGACAAACCAAGTATCTTTCTATTTTTCTTTATTTTTTTTTTCATAAAAGACAGAACAAAACTCTCATAGGAATCAGCGTCGGAAATCTCAGGAACATGGGCGTGAGAGTTCCAATGCAACAATTCGAAGAAAAAAAAAAAAATCAAATCAAAGGTGATGCCGCTACAGTTTTACACCTGCATGTATCTATCGTTTTGGACTATCGTTCCAATCTCATGGCAGAAAAGTTTGAGAAAAATTGTAAAAGATACAGAAAATTTTGACACTGCAGTTGAAAGATTAGGTAGACTCATAGCTGCATCCAGAGATATTTTTATCAAATCTATACATTTTAGGGTTATTAGTAAGCTAACTGCATACTTTTGATCGCCGAATTAAGAACAATAAGAAACCAAAAAGTGCCTTCAGAAATTAGGGTGGGAAAATGAAGGATAGCGGTGAAATTTTACCTTGGCGCCGCAGTGGATTAGTACAGGGAAGCGGCAGAGGTGAAGATAGAGCTCCTTCTTGGAAGCAAAAGGAGGAAAAATGTGGGAAAGGGCGTCGGAAATTTCAGCGCCGTACTCTAGCGGGAGAAAGCGCTCCCAGATGTCGTCGGCGTCGGCGGCGGATCGAAAAGTGGAGGAGACGGAAGCGAAGCGGCAAACGTCCTGAGGAGAAGTGAAGGAGAGTATGTGAGCGATGCAGCCCTCAGGAAGAGCGGAGAAGCCGACCGCGGCGGCGGTAGGCCTGGGCTTTGCCATGGGTGATGTGCGTTTGAAAGGGAATTTGAGAGGAGGATTTATAAAGAAGGAGAAAGGGGAAAGGAAGGACGGTAGCTTTGCGGTTAAGCTTGGAGTATGCGCTCAACAGCTCCTCTCCTTCTCTTACTTACAGTCGGTTCTCCCCCCTCTTTATTTTATATCACAATAAAATATATACTAAATTAATAAAAATACTCATAAATTATTTTTTATTTTTATTTTTTATTTTTTTAAAATTTAATTTTAGATAAAAATCAAAATTCCTACAATTAAGAATTTTATTTAATATTATTCTATATTACTTGAAACAATGTTTATATTATTTTTCATTTATGATGCATTAAAATAAATGAAAAGACATTTTTGACAACCACACTAGAATACAATAAAGGCCTCTCAACTCTGTAACTCCACATCATCGAGACTTCTCGGGTCGATCTTCATCCTCTAAACTCGTGATCTTCTCATCCTTCAGAAGCAATGTACGTTTTAGTTGCACCTGACCAATCCTAAATTTTCAGTATTACCGTTTGAAGTTCCTTTGAAAAGCATTTGTTCCACCATAAATCAACCTATCAAATTATTCAATTCAATTTTAAATAATTTTAAATAAAATCTCTAATTTAACAATTATGTCATATACTTGGTAGACTTTATTTATAGTAGAAAAATAGAATCTTTAAGTATTATTAATCCTAAAGGTAAACAATACAATTATTGAAATGGTAGGAAGAATGGTTTGGAACATTTGTCGGCATTAAAAGATCATTCAATGATTATTCAATCAGTTGACGGAGTGGTCTCAGGTGGCGCTGGTTTAGCACAGATGGGAGGGTTTTGCTTTCCAGAAATGGTCGGTTTCACATTTGCACACTCGGACACAATTGGCCCTTCTTTACCACTATAAGTGAGGTCAATATCAGCAATTTCCACATCCTCGCATGGATGACTTTTACTGCAAACAAGTTTGACTGCAACTGGAGTAGAAGATGTGCCCCTAATGTTCTTGAAACTAACTTTGCTAATCTTAATTGTTGATGGAACCTAGATGTTCAAAATAAAGATTAATTAATACTTGTGTTCAAAAGATAATAAGTTGGAAACCAACGAGGTTCGATTTTAATACATACCTTTCGATTGCATTGATTCCATGGACAATATTCTTGATCTATGATGATGGGGTTAGCAACATTATCCATTTCAATATCTTCAAAATGCATGTCAGAGGCTGGGTATGAGACGGCAGAATCTGGCCATGATTTGATCCTGACACCATTTGTAGTACCGATTAATTTGCATTTCTTCACTGTAACTCCTACCACTTCTTTTTCAGTTTTATACTTGCCCAAGCTGCCTATGCTAATGCCATGTCCCGGTCCGCAAGTAACATCACTAATGGTTATTTTTCTGTTAGTGTATCCCACCGATATACAATCATCTCCCGTTGCGATTACGGTGTTGAGAATGTAAACGTCTTCTGAATCACCCAAGTGAATTCCATCGGTGTTGGGACTATGCTCTGGTGCAGTAATTTTCAAGTGATCGAAGGTAAGATTCTTGCCGGCCAAAACATTGATATGAAAATTCTTGCTATCCAATGAAGTTATGTCCTTCACTATCGAATTTGTGATGAAATTGAACTTCAAATTCTGCTCATTCCAAACAAACAAAGAAAAAACACTCGCTTGTTAAAGCATATAATGCTAACCCAAATTATGAGTTCTTTTTATAATTAAAGTAGTACGAGCATTTACCATGGGAAGCTTTTTGCATTCTTTCTTCAGGTGGCAATCATTCTTTTCCCAACCAGCTTTTCCTTGGCCATCGAAAACTCCAGTACCAGACAATGTCAAATGATCGACGTATTCCATAACAAGCAACCCATCTCCTTCCGTGTCGGTAGGAGAAGCTTGTAATGTTCCTTCAACTAGAAGCTCAATAGGACTTTTACATGGACCTTTGAGCCTGGATTCTCCTAATTGATAAGTTCCTTTTGGAACCAATACTTTACTTGGAGTAGCCGACGCACATGCTTCCTTCCATGCATCTGCTAAAGCCTGTGAATTCAACCATTTCGTTTGAGAAAAATATTTTGTACAAAATGAAATTTTGGTTTATCAACTTAAACAAATGTACCCAGTGAAATTTTTGGTTCATCAACTTAAACAAATGTACCCAATGAAATTTTTGGTTCATCAGCTTAAACAAATGTACCCAATGAACTTTTTGGTTCATCAACTTAAACAAATGTACCCAATGAAATTTTTGGTTCATCAACTTAAACAAATGTACACGTACTTGAGTAACATCAGCATTAGGTTTGGCACCAAATGTCGTAATATCAAAAACACCGCTAGTAGCATCAACGGTAGCATTAGACACCAACAATAGCAACAGTGGTATTAATGCCATAAACTTTGATATCAATCCCATCTTTTCTAGTTCTCTGGTCTCTTGTACTTTGTCTTATTTTCTTTTGGTTCAAATTCCCCAATTTCTCAGAATTAAGAATTGATTTGAATGCATTCACCAACTCAAACTCCCTTTATATACAAACACAAAAATAACCAATTCCTACTAGCTAAATTTGTTAAAGAATAAGTATGTGGTTTAAGGCTGACCCTATAATTAGTTTTAGTTTTACCTTAAACGATGGAGGATTATGTTGACCTTTCCATCAAAATAATGTTTTAAAATGTTAAATAAGGTTTCGTGTTTGATCAAAGAATTAAATTTTTTGTTTTTGGATTTTGAAATTTAAGTTTACCAGCTTTATTTATAAAGAGTTTTTTTTTGTTTATTAAAGAAGTATTTTTAAAATCAAGCAAAGTTTGGAGACGGTAGAAAATTATGTTCTTGTTTTGAAACTTGATTATGAAGTATGAAATATAAAAGAGGGTTGGTAAAGAAATTAATTATGTTCTTGTTTTGAAACTTGATTATGAAGTATGAAATATAAAAGAGGGTTGGTAAAGAAATTGCGAGAAAATGATTATAAGTTTTTAAAATTAACGTCAAAAAGAGTGCATAATAACTCTCAATGAATGACCTTGCCGATGTTCCTTGTAGAGACTAATCATGAATTATTAGAGTAGGCCCTTCTTTTGTAATTAAAAACCATGGATTATTTATATAGGTTTAAATATAATTTTGTGGATGAAGCTTTTAAAAAATTCAATGAGATACAATTCTATACATTTCTATGTCACAAATGATAATTGATAGTATCATTGAATGAATGTGATTCTAGAGCTGATTCTAAAAAATAGATTACAAATTCTGAAAAATATATGGCAAGTGCATCCAATAGAACGGATCAATCACGCGACAAGACATGTGAAGAATTGATAGAAAATTGGATCAAGGGTTCGTCCGTTAGGATTAGAAATGGACAAGCCCAACCGACCAATTGGGAATGGACGGGCCTCGACTCACAAATATAGCTGAAAAATGACAAAAGAAAAACTTTTTCCACCCCATCATTTTAATATATTTTTGATCCGCGCTAATAAAAAACCGAAGAAGAAGAAGAAAGTAAGAAAAGTGAAGAGTAATAAATATTTTTTTAAAAAAAAAAAAATATTGATTAATTCTTTGAGGATAATTTTTAATTTTTGTTGCTGTCCAGCTGGGAACGTATCGTGTGCCTCAACCCCATCCATACAGCCCGCGCTTAACTTTAATAATTACCCGCCTCATTCCTGCATCGGCTCGACTTGGCGACTTGTCGACTCGGCTTCTCGGCTTAGACGGCTCAGTATAAAAATTATGTACTATTTCCTAAGTTTTCGACATTCCTAAAGCCATTTTTACCCTATTTAAGGCATTTGAGGTCGGTAAAACTCCCATCTACCCATATTTATTTAGTTTTAGGATTTAGGTTAGAAATAGTCATCATGTATAGCTAGGTTAAGAGGTTTATATGACCTAAGCATGTTATATGAATTGATATAGGTGAGAATCAAGCATTGGAATATAGTTTTCGAAGCGGCTACCCAGTAATTAGTAACTTCGGCCAAGGCTAACCATGTAAGTGACCTTACGGTTGGAGTTAACTAATTGGTTGATGTATGATAGTGCATGTATCATATTAATTATGTGATGCTTCTATGCTCTTTATTGTCATGTAATGTATGTCAAGTATGCGTGCGATATCCATTACACTGTATTATGAATGAAATGAAATGTCATGTATGAAATGTTATGTCTTACCATATAAGTTATGGGATGGATTACGTGATATTTTCCATGCATACATGATGCATATATGAAATATTTTATGCATGAAAAGAGAAAGGAAATGAAACTACTATTATGTTATGAATGAAAATCATGAGACCTCATGCATGTATGTATGCCATGTACATCGGTATACTTCCCCATAATGTTATGCTAGTACTGATGCCTACCTTTGATATTTATGTTTGTCATGATATCATGTGGATATTTTTTTTTTCTGAGGCATCCGATGACGTGTAATGTATTGTGCCGACCAAGTCAGGCCCAAGGGGTACGTATACGAGCTCGTCGAGTTGGTCCATGTGCGTGTAAGTGGGTCGTGTGTGGAAAAGTATCATGCATCAAACCCTATCCTTAACTAGAAAGAGCCTAAGGTCATGTTACGGTTTTAAAAGATAGATCTCAATCATGTATTGTGTGTGACTGCATTACTAACCCCAATAGTGGGTTGACTCACTTAGAATTTCTTAAAATACTCAAGTCACGTGTTACCTTATATTTTTCTAGTAAAGGAAAAGCACGGATGACGGAGAACACCGGAAAGACCATAAAAGTTAGGATAGATCATGATAGGGAAATAGCATTGAATTTAATTAGTAGTTGAGAGGTGTTTTATGTTAAAAAAACCATGTTATATTTATTTATGTTTTGAACCCAACATGTAAGTCAATAGTTTTATTTTAAAAGTATTTATTTTGAATTATGCGATTAAAGCATGCATAGAGTGATGTCACTGATTAGCCTAAGATAATTAGGGGCATTGCCGATAATCTTTTGTTTCAGTTGACGATAGGAAAATTTCAAGATTATTGTGATATGATTAAAAACGTAGCTTTAAATTACTTTGGTTCATTAATATAATATTAATAATAATAAACATAGAGTAAAAATT